GGGGTGAGGCGGACTACGGATCGACTCAGCAGGTCGTTTTGGTGGCCTGGTTGGCGGAGTGACGTGACAGACCGGCTGCGGTGCTGCGTGGCATGCACTGCAGCAAAGGCTCACCGTCCCGCGAAGCACGCCAGGATGATGGTCTATCACCCCCGAAGGAGGTTTCAACAAGTCGCAGTCGACGTGCAGTCGGTCACGCCGAGGACTGCATCCGGAAATATCAAGATTTTGGTGATCGTTGACACCTTTACGCGCTTTGCCCGTGCCATCCCGATTCCAGACGAGCGTGCCGACACCGTCGCCAAGCTGATACTAGATGAATGGGTGTCCATCTTCGGTCCAATGGAGAGACTTTTGTCGGATCGTGGACCGAATTTTATCGGAATCGTGGTCAAGGCGATGGCGGAGCAACTCGGAGTGAGTCGCATCAAGACTTCACCCCTGCACCCACAGGCGAACGGCTGTGTCGAGAGGTGGAACAGGACCTTGATGCGAGACATTGCATGCTTCATGAGCACTGGAAGCCAGGACTGGGATGAACACGTTTCCCTCGCATGCTTCCGGTACAATACTGTCGTGAACGAGGCCACTGGCTTGACGCCATATGAAGCAATGTTTGGCATTTCTGCATTTATGTCGTGGGGGGCTGAGGAATCCAGCCGCATTCGTGGAGAGCCGTATGAGCTCAGCAGTCACCTCAGAGATTTACACAACCGGCTTCTGTCACGGGGAGTGAGGGCGAGGGAAGTGGCCGCCGACGAATACGACAAGGACGTCAAGGATCTGGGATTTGTCGCCGGAGACCGGGTGCTGGTGTGGTCTCCGGAACTGGCCAGCAAGGAAGGGAACAAAATTGTCCGACCCTGGCTGGGCCCGTATCGCGTTGATGAAGTGCTTTCCCCTGTGAGCTTCATGCTGAAGTCGGAGTTGGGAGGAAAGATAGCTCGCGTACATCCGAACCGTATGCAAAAGATTTCCGCCGCCGCCGTCCAGACTTGCAATGCCAGGAATGGAGTGTTTCCAGATGGACTACGACTACTCGAGCGCATGAAAGATTCAAAGGAAATCGAAGAACCTCGCACTGGGAAAAGGCACAGGCTGTTCAAGCTTCGCATCGCTGGCCGAAAGTCCCCAAAATGGATCAAGGAAGAAGACATACCTACCATCATTGTGCGACTGTTCGATCGGAGTATCGCGGATCGTCGGCCGATGTAGACAGGTGCGAAGGAAAAGGGACGGATGTTGAGGAAGAACTGAACCCCACGTGTAAACGTGGACGAACGGATCGCGAACCGGAACAGGAGTGCACGTGCGCGCATGTAGGGAACCGAAAGGGCGGGTAATCCAGTCTTCCGAAGGGAAAAAGGGGTGCAGCTGGTGTCGCGCGTAGCGCCAACGGCAAGGAGGACGGCAATGGACGGTAGGAGTTGGGGCGGGGGACAGCGCCGGGTGGTCGGGAGCTGCTGGGTCGAAAGGAAAGGGGGGAGGGGAGGAAAGATCAGAGACAGCTGAGGCCTCCCGGGGAGTAGTACTTAATCGCCTACCCTCAGAGATAGAGAGGGGAGGCAGCGAACTAGCAAAGAGTAAAGGAAGTGGGTGGATTCCCGACTTTACGACTCGCTCGGTGCCTCGCGGTTGGATTACCGCAACAGTACTATAGTGCTACTGTGGTCGGCTACAGTAGTGGGTGCGGGTCGCGCGTATTGTAGGGCTGTCAGCATTCGGTGCTGACAGCACGCGCGCTCGTGCGCGTCGTACTGTAGAGCTCGGGCTCTATAGTAGCTGATCTAATCTAAATCTAGTCCCAGGGGGTTGTACTACAGTAGGGGAGGTCGATGAGCTATTGCGGGACATTCTAGAAGCAAAGAGGGACCTTGGGGCCCGAAAGGATGGAGATATGAAAGAACGTGCTGATCAGGAGCGCCAGAAGATCGCTGCAGGACAAGATTTAGTGCTCAATGCACTGCGTGGTAAAAAAAGACGTGAACAGAAGATGAGCTCGGACGAGGAGGGCCCTTTGAAAAGACGACGCTTGGCTGTGGGTGATGGCATGCAATCCATAGGGCTCGCAGTTCGCGAATCAGAAGCGGCAAGGTTCGACATGGAGCAAAAGAAGCTAGACTTCGCGCGCAAGAAAGCTACACATGAATTGGACCAGCGCGAGAAGGACCGCAAGGAAAGGGCTGAAGAGCGCGCCCAGCGCGCAACCGAGCTCGCAGCTTAACGCGACTCCATGAGCGGCATGATGGAGCAAACAAGGAAGCAAATGCAATCCGTACTTTCTTTGGTAACGACGCTCCTCTCGCAGCAGCAAACAAAGAAAACGAACGAGTAACCAGAGTATTCAGCGAGTAAACGTTTCTTCAGTATCAAAACGCCCTACATACCACCTACTCCCGCGCTTGACCTCGTCGACCCGCATTACGTACCACAACCGCTGCTCCCACGTCTGGTTGATCACGAGCCCTTCGCATGCCAACCTCATAGCCCTCCTCACGCCGTTGCCTCCACGAGCACAGCCGCCACGCTCACCGCAGCCCCAGCCTTTTCCAGTGTTGTGGTATAACTACCTTCGTCCCGACCACTCGGAAACGAGGGGGGTTAGAGGTAAGGGAGCGCGCGCCGCTGGGTAACCCACGCGCGAACGCAAACCGTACGGAAGGACTCGAAAAGAGGGAAGGCTCACGTGGCCGGTGACGCGCAGCCGGTCGGTAGTGTTAGATCCGGACGGCCGGTCACGGGTTAGAAGCCTGAGACTAAAAGGGAAACCGGAACGGGATAGCAATTAGCCGTAAAGCGAAGGGAGGCGAGTCTGCCTCCTGTTTACTGGAATGGGGCAGGTGCCTCCGGTCTTAACCCCTCAGTGGGACGCTAGGACACCTGTCCCGCTACAGTAGCTGTTACTTACTGTATACCAGCTACTGTGCTAAATTGGCTAATTTGTGCCATTAACTACTAATGACCAGTTAGCCACCGTACGGATTATACACGTGTGCCCGTGGCCACGGTCCCGGCTAACGGTTGGGCCACGTGTTACCCGTGGCCACGCCCGCTGTTACCGGCTGTCCCACGTCGGACCCTTGGGGTACTACTGTACACGGCGGCGGGCGCGTGTACGCCTGCTCGCTACAGTAGCACCCGCCCTCCCGCGCGGTTATCATCTCGCCGGGGGGTTGTGGTACGGAATTGCACTACAAGTGTCACGGACTCACCCTCATGGTACGGCCAGTACACGAACGGCCCCAAGAACACCCTGCCTTCACCCCAGCCGTGCACGTCCACATCGCCCCTACACGCCCCATTGTTCAGGAAGGACAGCGGCCTCCCCTCCACGTCATACAGCACGCATCTCACACTCCCTTCGCGCATCTGCCTCCATGGAGGCAATAAGCAAGCCTCTCTCCCGCGAGCGACAATCTTCCAAATCAATCGAGGCTCCATGAGGACCATTGTTCGGCCGTGGCGAAGCGAAAAGCGTACGGCATGGCGACGCCAACCTCGATCCGGTTGTTTTACATGCGGTCGATGCGCAAACGCCAGAACGCCGACGTCACGGACACTTATTGGTCCCCCATTCCATAGGGGCGGTGTCCCCCAAAGGTGGGAAAAAGCCCTCTGGCGCTGCACTCTGTGGCTCAGGCATCATCCCGGTGGATTATGTACTCCTCAAGGGCAGGAGGCGCGCAGTGAAAATAGTGCGAAATAGCCTTTGGGTGAAGGCAGTTACGGGCATTGGTGAAAAGAACAGCTGCGATATATAACATCCCCACGGCGCTTCCCTTCAATTTCATCATACGCTTGAAGTCCACGAACGTCCACGACCTCTTAAGTTCTCTAAAATACCACTTAACCGTCACGCGAGACTTCAACATGGACGTGTTCAAGGCTTGTTGTCCTGGTGTGAGATTAGATCCCGAAAAGGGCACGAAAAAAAATACTCTTGAGCTGTAACCAGAGTCCCCATAGGCCACAAACTGCCGGTTAAGATGGAAAAAGGCTTCTTGTAGTGTAGAGTCAAGCCCGCTTCGCATATACATAGTCCAATCGTGACGCCGGCCCTCAAAAGGACCAGCAAAATGCATAGCGAGACCGCACGGTGTAGTTCAGGCCTGAAATTTGATAGCGTGTTTCCGTTTATGCCCGCTATAAGCAACACGCTAATCAAAATCCAGGCCACTTGGTCGAGCTACAGCCAAGTTCGTTACATCGATGAATGCAACAACATTCTCTAGCGCCTGAATTTTAATACCCACAGCTTCTGCATACTCCTCGAAACTAGTTTGCCAAAAGGGCTTGTGTAGATTGCCCATGACTAGATTAACACGCACTGACACGAATTGAAAAAGCCCCTCCCGAAATATTTCTGACAGATGCGGTGTGTGCAGAGCAAAAAGTCTTTCCAGGTCTCTCCATCTGTTCGGCAAAGCAAGACGGCGTAGAATGACGCAAGTTACTAACAATGGGCTTGTTCCGTAGCGGTTCCGGCGTGTCCGAAATTGTTCTGCTGGCCACGACGTGACGATTTGTCAAATCAATGATGAACCAAGGACGTCAAGCTGATTTCGCGTGAACGACACACTTGCTTCTCGCGATCATTTCAGCTTCTGTGTAGTGTGAGCAGTAAACCGGCTAACATGAAGTTTGATGACAGGGCGGAGCTTGGGTCTGAGTTCTTTTTCTTGAAGATCGAGGGTAGCAGGGAAGTCCACCCGGCGATGCGCGAGCAAACGGCCCGGGGGTTGTGGTCCTTTTGTCGTCCGAGGGACATGGCGGTTTGAGGAGCTGTGGGTTGGGCTGCAAAATTGGGCTGCGTGATAATACTCATGTGATGGTGCTTGATGCTTGGCGTAAACACTTCTCGGTACATCTTCAATTTGTGAAATTCAGAAATGCCAATGTTACTTATCATACCTCTATTTGTCACAATGATTTGTGAAATTCTTGCTGCGTAAACCTTAAAATAATCATCATTAATTATGAAAGAAATATTTTATAACCCCATGCACTGTCGTTGGTCGTTATTGTAAAATCGGAGCTCAGATTTCGACCAGAAGCACCAACGTTCAGATCCCAAGCGGCTCGTGAGCATTTCCACGGAGGAACTGACGTATAGGCCCCTTCCCTCTCCACGTCTGCCACAGGCCTCGCATAACTCATTTTGGTCTCAGTTTGCGAGGGTAAAGACGGTTTACGCTTGTGTTGCGGGAGCACTGAACGAGCCCCCAAACGCCAAGGCTGTATTCTCTTCAATGCATCCTAACACCCCGAACATGGCGTTTGCCAGCGCTTTCGGGGGCGTGTCACTATTGGCGGCTCCGCGAAGAGCAAGACTGCCTCACCATATTAGTGACAAACATATTTGCGCATCTGCAGCTGGACGAAACCTAGATCGTTCCCAGAGCAAACGTGGAGAAAGCACAGAGGACAAATGGACGACAGAGAAAATACGGGCACCGCGAAGACAGCGAGGTGGTGGAAGAGAACGGAGGGGAAGCGTACGAATCCAAGGAAAGTACTACAGACCAAAAGCGTTGCCCCCGCAGCCCCCGGGGCTTCGTGTGTCTTCCGGTACTGCTCGAGGGCGCAAAATCAAATCGCCAAATGTCTACCTGCGCCCCATGATGGCCAAAGTCCGAGAAGCCCTATTCTCAATGCTGGAAATGTTTCAAGTGCTGCGATCTGATTGTGTAACACTAGATTTGTTTGCAGGAAGTGGGAGTATTGGGATTGAATCACTGTCACGCGGAATGGGACGCGCTGTTTTTGTGGATGCAGCGCATGAGTGTACGGAAACAATTGAAGAAAACCTCATAAATTGCCGCTTCGATGCACAGGGACAAACAGTATGCGCCCGTGTAGAAAATTTTGTGAAGAACGGAGCCAAGCTCAACAACAATCAGCATTATAATTTGATCACGGTGACGCCGCCGTACGAAGAAGTGAACTACTCTGATTTAATGACCGCCATTGCGCTCTCGGACTGTGTTGGAGAGGACACTTTTGTGGTGGTTGAGTACCCCGTCGAATTGAAATCACTCCCTCCGGTCATTGGTCACAGATTAATTGGTCTCAGAAATCGCAGGTATGGAAGAACGGTTCTCGGGCTTTATGTTTGCAACCCAACTTTTGATATCTATCCACGACCAGAAGAATTCATTGACGTTACTGGACGGCGACGTTGATAAAACGTAGAAGATCCCACGTGGCGCTGGTGAGTGGGGGGTAGTCCTAAGTCGATGGTTGTGATGCTTCAGCCTCAGCGGTCTTGCTCATTGCGTCTGACTCTGCATCAGACAAATCTACATCCGACTTCACATCCAAAATATCTTGAGTTAACGATTCTGTATCTAAAGACAAAACCTTTCGCAGAGGCATTTCTAGGGAAAATCGGAAATCCTCTCCAACATTAAATCGTCCCATCATTTCCTCAAAGTCGATGTCTGGGTCTGCTGCGTCACCATCAGTCTTCTCTAACTTCAGCTCCTGTAGTGCTTCTTCGAGAAGCTCTTCGATGGAATCGCGTAGCACAAACCCAGGAATGTCCTTCATGATGAACGGCGGGATGGTTCCTTTGCGAAATCCTTTGAAGTCTGCGTTCTTTCTTAATGCTTGGACGCTTTGCCTTCGCTTGTCCTTAGAATGTGAAGCAGGGATTTCAAGTTCAATTTTGTACTGTGCTAATTCTGAAGTCTCAGATTCGAACAATACTTGGAGCTTTTCGTGAGAAACGATACTCATTTGCGGACTCGCATGGCATTTGGCAGAACGGGACCTTGGTGCGGAAAAGTTGAGACCAGGCAGCCATGAAGAAACAAAAGCACCTTGCTTCATCTCTGTGTATACAGCGCGCACCCGTGACCCAGACTTGGAACTATGCAGATGACGGTGTTGTGGTAGCACTAGTCTGTGTGCAAGGGTCCGTCCACTGTCGCAGTCTGATCGCCGTTCAGTGCCTTGTCAGAAGCGAGTTGAGCTCGTGATGGCTCCCTTCCAATTACAGTAAAGGCTTCTCCTTACAGTTGTCCTTATGCCAGCGATGGAACTGTAACCTCACGTGTTTCTTCGGAGTGCAGGTGGACAACGTGTAGCATTCTTAGGGTTTGGATACCCTATGGAGATCCATCTACCGGAAACCAACCTGCTGAAGGTTTCTGGCGCTGCTCTTGACATGCCGTAGGTGTCTCAGCAGCATCCTTTTTGTCTTGTCGTTCCGTAACAGAATTTTGAGGATTAAATGAAGTCTGGTGTGAGGAAAACATAATGCACTACATTACGGAACGAGTCTCAAAACCTCAAAATTTCCTCTTTTTCCGACTGCCCTACCACAAGACAAACACTCCGCGGGAATTGGTATTTTATCTCTATACTTGCACTCTCTCTCTCTAGAACGGCTCGACAGCACGAGAATTTCAAGGACACTTAGAAACCATTGCAAACAGGCCAGACAATCTGGTTCGCAGCTATTCCGTCCCCCTTCCTGTCCAACGTGTCTTCTGTTTACGAGTTTAAGATCAGCAATTGCCTAGGCCCATGTGCTATCATAAGTAATGATGTGGTAGTAGTGTGGACAGATTTAAACTACAGTTGAGCTAGAGTGCATGGATAGCCCAGCCCCTCCCGAGTCTGCGCGGTTGCCGCATATGCCTTGGCGGCTTTATGAAATGCCTCTCCAGGCCGCTTCAATCGCCACCATGATCCAACATAGAATATATGTGCGGTTGGGTGGGGCAAACGAGCACGTGTAGGGTCCATTGGATACCACAGCTATGTCACTTCAAATCCTTCCGCTTGCAAACTGCCATGGAATCAAGACAAAGCGTCCGACATTTAAGAAAAGCAAATGAGCGAATAGCAGGCGTTTTATGCTTCCATGGTGAGAAATCAAACGGCTCCCTTTATTCGCAGTTGTAATTCAACTCTTAAATCCAGTGTATCGTTCCGTCCGGAAAAGAAGTTTTTTTTCATCTTATCGTGGAACCAAGCAGTATGGGTGCGGGAGTATGACTCATCCTATCTAGTTTTTCCGCTGGTGCTGTAAATGCATTTGAAAGTAGTTTTGCACGTCCCACGGAAGTACCGGAGGTGAGGGACATTTAATCGGAAGGCATGTTTTCGCGAACGTATCGACAGGAGTCTCTCTTCTGTACACAGGTGAGCTAATATCTATGCTGACATGTGTGGTACAGCAGTAATAGTTTACTAGTATAGAGCTCCAAAGCTTTGCTCCGACGTGTGAAGCATTTATATTTATATATGTATTCGAGGCACCTGAAAAAAAAACCTTAATAGCAGGGCGCATATTTAAAGTTACATATACTGTATTGTCCGAAAGGCTTTCAAGCTCAATGTCCACTAATACGAGAAATTCCTCCTAGGGCACATCGCTGACACCAAAGGGGGCAATGGGAGCCGAAGATTGGTTAGTACGAAGGATGGAAGCGATTATCAACCCACAGATATGAACCGGTGCACCACTCAAGAGCTCCGTTGCATCTTCGCAGAAAATCTAAATTTGTGTGAGCAAGCAGGCATTCCGCAACCACTTCTTGACGCCTCCATTTATGGTGATATCGCTTCCATCTTGTCCGCGCACACAGAATTGTGCAAATGCAGCCATTAATATCCAATCACAGTTTCATAGTGGCTACAAGCATAAATGGAACGGCAATCTTTCGGAAAGGTTACCAGCTTGTCACCTCAATGGCCTCACACACATGAATATACGCCCTTGTTTGCCTCAATGGCACGAGCGATACCTTGCAAAAATTAACATTTATGGAGGCCAGTGCCAGCTTGAGGTCAGGCCTCAAACTTCCCCTTCGCTACTGCCCCCATTACTCATTCCTGGCGTGTCGCTCAAGTGAGACATCATGTCTCGCCTCCTTGAGCGAAGTTCGTTTCACCTAGTCTGACATGGAGATCGATTCTGTCTCCACCAGTTAACCCTGGTGTTGACTCAAGCAAAACACAACGTCTCGACCTCGGCTCTCCTTGCCTGGCATGGAGCGTCACTGGTTTGCTTGTGCGGTAGCCTGGCCGCTTTCTAGTACTCTCGTGCATTCGTCAGTAGCTAACAGGGCCGTCGTGGACTTGGCAAGGAGGGATATGGGGACTGGAAATGCAACTAGGTTTGTTGTTTAACAGTGGGAAAAGGGACTCCACTTCTAAAGACGAAAAGAGTCGTGACAACTGCAGGTCGTGAACCCGTTATGAACAGAGTCAACTTCAAGAGTTACTGTACAAGAAAAAAGGTTACAAACCAACTTCTCAGCCACAACTTTCGAAATTGAATGCGTTGTTGAAGGTGCCATGCATGAACCATTGCACACGCCGCAAAAGCGTCATTGGTTCGCTCATGGTGCCTTCAACAAATCACTCATTTCGAAATTTTATCACTGAGACGCCAAAGAGCGGATGGAGACGATACCTCAGTAGGGACAGATGACCTGGTTCATGAGAAGAACATCAGTCAATGACTCTACTTCAAAAGGATGAGTGTTGGCAACTCCCTTCCCTGATTTTGTGTGGAATACTTTCGAGAACCATATAATAGGGCGATGTTGACACTTTTCTTATTCCAAATCCGTGGCCGAGATATTTTGTATAGAATACTTTCCAGACATAGAATGGTCTTCTATGCTGTTTCCATTGACCGCTACAGGTTGCGCTTGCTCCTTCAACTTTTTATGTGTTGAATCCAGATAACTGGTGCTAATGTTCTAATCTTCTAGTCGAAGAGCCTCTACGAATGCTACGAAAAGCGATCACCTTCGGCACTGGTTCGAGTGTTGCTTGCGATATTGCATGAAACGTGCTTCGGCGATATGGGTCTTAGCTCTGTTGTAAATAAAGATGTAAGGTATATGATAAGGTACACATTAAGTTAAACAAACGGCATACACCGATGCTGTAAGTAAAGAGACGTTAAATTAAAACAAAGGATAGATTACAGTTACAATGCTGCTTACAGTAAATGTTTACTCGATAAAATTCCTGAGTAAACATTTACTCGCAAGCAGATTAACATTTACTCGGTGTCGAGTTGATGGTTGCGAGTAAATGTTTACTCCTTAACATTCCCGGGTAAACATTTACCCGCAACCAGGTTAACCTTTACTGTATGGCCTTTATTGGCTTACGAGACATGTCATACAGTCATTACAAACTGAGTGACATGTGATTGTTTATTCAACGATATGGTATGGAGTATAAGTTTACTGTTCCTCGCTTGGCTTCACAGTTAACCTTTGCTTACGGATAAAAGCGCGCGAAACCGGAACAATCCTCTCGTATTGCTGCGAACAGTTCGATTTTAAGGTTCCATATAAAAAGGGACCCGAAGTTTTTTATATCGAGCGCCCACCATCATTCTCACCGACATCACTCTTTTGTTTTCTTGCACGTTGGTTTTTTCGAAATCGTCACTCTTTTGTTTTCTTGCGCTTTGGTTTCTTTCACACTTGACGGCTTGTTGTTGTCAAGAACGGGTGGGGTATGTGTCGCTCTGTGTTTCGTTTTCTAGACAGACAAATCGGGGATCTGACATTTCAACTGATTTTTAGCCTCCGAGTTGTGTCTGACCTACATGTGTAGACAGAAAAAATAGCGCGATCTGCGTCCGTCGAGGCCGAGAGGACAGAGTCAACCCCTCACGGGGTCGATCGTCACGTGAGAAATCTGACTTTGGCGAGGCTATAGCCACAGCGGGTGAGCCCGCTGGGGCCTTCGATACGCGTCAAGAAAGGGAGCCCTCGGCAGAAAAAGAAAGCCTCAGAAGTTTGGAGCCAACTCAAAGTGGCCCCACTTCCATAACCCCTTTTTCGCTACACCTCCAGTCTCAGTTCTAAAGCCCGCAAGTTGCTACAGGGCGCAGTATGAGTCCGTCGAGGCTGTGGGGCTATTCCGCTGTCAAGCACCAAACGAAGGATGGCAGGCCCTCTCCGAGTTTCGTTTCCCCAGTGATACGAAACGCCGCCACCCTTGCATGTAAAGGCCTCCATGCTGTCGTTTTCTATTAAGTGGAAGTAAGCAATGATATCTTAAACGAAAAAATAGCCTGAACTTTATTTGGAATGCAAGATCATATATCTCCTTTCCTACGCCTTTGAATGCATGGACTATGCGCTGCGACGCGTTTGGGGAAAGCAGTTCCAAAGATTTCGAACCTATGCTCATTATGAATGCGGAATCCTATTTCTAGCATGCCGCATAGTAGTAAAATGGTTCTGCTCGCTGTACGGAAACCATGTGCAAATCGAGCTGTCGGTATGACATGCTCATATTGAGGTTAGCGCCCCGCACAAATGGCTGCCAAAAACACAAGTTGATACTGTCCTTGCATCACGTGCAGGGCCTTCCCGGGGGGCCCAGCAGGATCTGAAATGTTCACATGTACCGTGTGTTTATGTTGCGTTTGGCAACCTGAAAAGGGGGGTGCAAATCTTATTATGAGTTTCGAGTACCAAAAAAAGGGGCTTGAAACTCATGAGTTTCGAGTACCAAAAAAAGGGACTCGAAACTCATAATGAGTTTCGAACCCCCGAAAAAAGGTACTCAAAACTCAAAATGAGAATTGTCTCGAAGTATGGGCAGGGGCGCTCCAAGGGCGCAGCAATATGTGCGATTTTAACGCGTGCTGTAGGTTTATATTGCGTTTCACAGCCTCAAAAAAGTGGGTCTCTTGTTGGGAATGCCCGTAGTGTGTGCTTGGGAGTGTGCGGGGCCCCGTAGAATAGTACACTAATTATGCGTTGGGAACCTATGTCTTTTGCTTTGAAACGCAAGATATGTCTCGATATGTCAGATGTGTGTTTAGTTAGAAAGAAGGTTCGGTCTCTACAGCTAGCGTCAATATCTCTTCCCGTCTGGGGTTCTTCCTCGCCCTCTAAATCAATAAATTAAGCCTCGCTGACGAAATTTGTCTATTCTTTGACATGCCCCTGAAACCGTCCTCGCAGAGAAACATCACCCAGATCCAAATAAATAACGTCACGGTCTTATCATTCTCTTCGGATACTGAAACAGATATTATTGTTTTCCGTACGCACTTAGGGTGGAGCCGAGCCCCAATAGACCTTTAGTGCAACTATCCGTCCTTCAGTCTGTGACGACCTCTATTGGTAATGAGTGTCGGTGTCATGACGATAGCGGCTGGCGATGTGCATGATCCCTGTTTCTACCCTTCAGCTTCATCTTTGTGTCAAATATTTGACATTTCCTCAAAACAACAATTTATTTTTAGTTTCCATCGTCATTGTTCACATACACGCATGCAAGCAAACATAGGCATGTTTTTCGAAGGAGATGGAGTAATTACGCAATGGCATAGTATACAGCATGTATTCGCGCCAAGCTCGAATCAAAACACGACACAGTTTTGGCGCCTTTGAGCGCGCTTGCGATCTTACCAGCCATTTACACGTGCCCATTAAATCCCGCCAAAGAAATCAAACATATAAACGTAATACCAGTCGCCGCACACACCATCAGGATATCTCACCACTCTGCCTTCTGCTCTTGTGTTCAGAGTCTCGGGACTCGATGGAGACTTCTAAGGAGGCTACGGTTTTAAAATTATTAGCCGAACAGCGAGCCGAGCGCCAAGAGGACTTGGCCAAGTATGTGTCCGACCCCGATGCTACCGAGACAGACACCGACAATGAACGAGATTCCGATACGCCTGTCCTCGACAAGTTTTTGCAGTCTGGCGGAGTGGAGGCCGTCGTTGAAATGACGAATTTCTCCCTCAACGAATTGAATGCTCTTTGGAATGTTGTTAAGGAAAAGGTGGAATCTGAATGGAATACAGGTCGCGGACGGAAATCTCAGCACTGCCCGAACGACGTGCTTTTTATGTTACTCTCTACTCTGAAACATGCAGTTCATTGGGACTTCAACGGCAAAATATTTGGTGTGAAGGGACCTACATTTGAGCGCATGATTATTGGATTTGCTGATAAGGTGGTTGATATACTGTACGAGACAGTGGTGCTGAGGTGGGAGGAGCGATACACAATGGAGCGTCTCATCAAAGATAACAGCACATTCAAGCATTACAAATTTGCATTGTACGCCACAGACGTCACCTTCCAGAACTCCAACCGCCCTGGTGGCAACCATGAGGAGGCTAAGAGGCACTTTAGCAACAAACACAAGTTATATGGCTATAAATCAGAGGTGTCGGTGTTGCCTAACGGTATTGCAATTGGATGCACTCCTCATCAACCAGGATCCGTATCAGACTTAGGCATATTCAGAAAGAACATCAAATGGCATCAGGCTGCTCTTTCAAAAACAGATCGCGAGGCACGTAGCTATCCAGATGTTGGACCAATGGTGGAGGAGCATGACGGACTGTGGGCTGTCCTGACGGATAAAGGATATCAGGGGCGGCAGATGTGATCAGGGCGATAATGCCTAAGAAGAAGCCGAAGGGAGGATCGCTGTCGCATGACGAGCAGCGAATTAATCGCAAAATCAACTCGGACGGCATCATTGTCGAGAATATTTTTGGAAGGCTGTCGACGTTGTGGGCAATCATGGCTAACAAGTGGCGATGGGACGAGAAGCAGTATGACAAAATATCTCCGCTCTGCCTGTCTTTGACAAATCTGTAGTGCAATGCGCCTGTTAGGCAGAGACCAAGGTCCGACGGTCCAACACAAACAACAGCAACCAAAAACAACAACTGCCAACGGCACAGCGCTACGGAGTGTTCGAAGCTCCCTGTCCTCTTTAAGCGAGTTTGCGGCCCGCAGTAGCTCGGATCCCTGATAGGGGGGGGCAAAGAGAAGGGCCCAGCCCGGGATCGGTAAATGGTGGTAGAGACTTGTAAAGGCAACTGCTGGACGAGTTCGGAGGGGTGTTTAGGTAAACCTGGTCCGATGGGTCGTAAATCCAATGCTCGAAGAGCGCCTTGTACACCTTATACCCTTGATAAGGTCTTCGACGGGGACGTCGCAACGTAGCCCGTCGGGAAAGAAGAAAACGTAGCAGCGCTACACCGTCGTACTGCCCGATGGCAAAGTACCAACAACGGATCGGTCGCAACCAGATTCCGATGGAACCAACACTGAGAAAAGCACCACTGGTGCACCAACACAAAAGCCCGATGGCAAATAACGTCACGTTGCGGATCGCAACCCTACAAGGTGGGACCAACTCAAGATTAAGGGAAATTAGGATAGGGAAATAAAGGAAAATTGATAAGGAAAAAGGGGACCCCGAGCGATAGAGGATGCCGTAGGCTTAGGTAAAAGGGAGCGTCTTGGTAGAGACGGACTTCGACCAAGGCGACATTCAACTCCGGCAACTCGGGTTACCTTTACTGACTTGGTCGTCAGAGGGCTAAGGTATATATCGCCCCGCCGGAGCCACTACAGTAGCTCTCGGCGCTAGATCCTAGATCTAATCTAATGTTAAATAACTAATATGCAACTAATTAAA